GAAGGAGGAGGACGAGGACGAGGAGGAGGAAGGCCCTGGCGCTGCTCTGCGACGAGCACCTCGCCCAGAGCCCGCTGAGCGCCCTGTGCCTCTCGGCCGTGGCGGCGGCCAGAGCGGGGCACGCCGAGGGGCCCGCCCCCGAGGGCGAGCCCCGCTGGGGCCGGGCCTTTGCCCATCGCCTGCGGGGCTCCTCGCAGCTGCTGGGCCTTCTCCGGGACCCGCGCGCTGCCGCGGGCCCAAGAGGTCCACCAGAAGCAAAAGTCGTCCCATGCCCGCTGGGAGATAGAAATTTTCAGCACGGTCGCCTCCGAGACGTTCACAAGGTCCAAGACGGACCACGAGGCCGTCAGAATCGCCCCAGCACGGGACAAGAGGCCCCCCAGAGGGCTCCAAGACCACCCAACAAGGCCCCAAGACGGCCCAAGCAGGGTTAAGTCGGGCCTGTCCCCCCACAGGGGGATTTTCGACGAAGAATGAAAAATACCCAGAAATGTTGCAAAAATCATCCGAAAATAGTCTGGGGACTATTTTTCTAGCATTTCTTGACCATATTAGGGTATTTTGGGGGTGTTCTTCATTTTTCGTCGAAAATCCCCCTGTAGGGGGACAGGCCCGACCTGACCCAAGGGCCGGTCGACGACGAGGGCCTGCTGGGCGACGTCGCGGAGGCCGCCGCCGTGGCCCTCGAGTGGCGCGCCCGGCTGTGCCGCTCGCTGGAGGTGTGGGACGTCCTGCTCTGCACGCTGCAGCCAACGGCGCGCCACGAGTTGCGGGTGAGGATCGGGGGTGGAGAAGCCGCCCCGACTCTCATTTAGGGCGTTGACTAACTGACGCTGCCCTGGGCGTTTACTGAACAGCCCTATCCTGTTCGATGTCTTCCTCGGATGCGTTTACGAAACTGCTTCGCTTGCCGGGGTGCTTCTTCTGAGGGTGTGTGCTTTTGTGTTTTCTAGAGGAGGATGTGGAAGCTCCTGTCGGCAGTCTGGCCGCGGCAGACTACGGCCTCCTCTGCCGCAGCCGACTCGGATGATCCGGGGAGCAGCGGCATCGACAGGCTGGTAGACATCTGCCTCCGGAAGCTCGACCGGAAGAACCGCGCCATTGACGCCGGCGAGTTGCAGCGTATGTTCGAGCTTCTGCTCCCCGCGAGCTCAACGCTCGAGGAGTCGCTGCAGGCGGAGTTGAGGGCGCTCGTTTCGTCTGGGCGTGGGGAGGATGACCTGTGCAGCGGTGTCCAGTCTTGGGTCCAGGCGGTGAAGGCTTGGCACTGGCAGCCTCTCGGCGGCCTGGCCGGGCGGCTCTTCCTGGAAGGGCTCACCCTGTCGCCCGCCGCCATGGGCGCGGTCGAGAGGCGGCTCTCGCACAAGGCCGCGGAGACCGAGGTGCTGGCGCTCGCGCGGGGGCCCCTGCTCCAGAAGTTGGACGACGCCTCCCTGGTGTCCCGGCTGCTCGAGAGCGTGCCAGGCGTGGGCGTTGCGTAATCGGGGGGTCGTAAATGGGGGGGGGGCGAGGGTGGTCCGAAAAGGTACCCCGAACGGTACCTCAACGAGCCCCCCGGGGCTCTGGAGGGGCCGGACAGGGGCACGAAGGGGGACCGTTTCTGACCCCCCCGTTGATGACCCCCCCATTAAGCCAAGCCCAACAGGCCGAATAGTTGAGCTCGCGGAGCTGTTTGCAGAGTTCTGCCAGCACGCCGCGGGGTCGCGAGGCGGCGTCGGCGACGGCGCCACCAAGGAGAGCAGGTTCGGCCAGGCGATCATGCAGCTCCACATGCAGGGGCTGCACGCCCCCCTCAGGAGCAGCGGCCAGCAGCGCAGGCAGAAGAGGGCGTTCGCTGGCTGGCGGACTCGAAGGAGGGTGTTCGGGCGTGTCTGGGTGAAGGCCGCCACGCAGACCCGCATCACGGAGTTCTTCCACAAGGCGCACGAGGAGGTGGCCGAGCAGAGCGTGGCAGCTCGGATGGCGGATGGGCCCGACAGGGCGAGGCACTTTGTTTCCCCGATCTGCGTGGACCCTGGGGACGCCAAGAAGATCGTGGACTCGAAGGAGCCACCGTGGGCGATGATGGCGTTGCGGAAGGGCCCGGCGGCACGGGGACATGCGAGCACGCTGAGGGACAAGAGGGGTGCGGACGAGCCGGCGAATGTACATTCGGAGAAGAGGCAGAGAAGGGCGAAGATCTTCATGGCATGAGCCACGAGGGCGGCCCCATCGGCCGATTTGGTTCTCTTCAGGTCCTCCCCCGCCGCCTAGTTCTTTGCCCCACCTCCGCGAGCTCCGTCCTGATGGAGCTGACGGGCCGGCGGTCAGGGGCCGCATGTTTTTTGTCATCCTCGCGCATTGCTCCCGCGCGGGTTGGGAGCAATCGCTGCGCGTTAGCGGTGCGTTAGCTGCGCGTTCGGGGAGGGAGCACTGCAGCGCAGTGGGCGTGAAAAGGAAGAGCAGCTCTGCTGGCACAGCACAGCCTTGGCATCGCCAAGAAGTGAAGTGTTCAGAGGTGGCCAGGGGGGAACACGAGGAGGAGGAGGAGGAGGAGGAGGAGGAGGAGGAGGAGGAGGAGGGGGAGGAGGAGGGGGAGAGGGAGGAGGGGGAGGAGGAGGAGGAGGAGGAGGAGGAGGAGGAGGAGGAGGAGGAGAAGGAGGAGGAACGGTACAATCGAGATGCTGAACCAAGGACCACTTCGGGCTCAGGAGGGGCTCTGGCTGACGGCAGGGCCTCGAGTCCAGGTCGGGGAGACCATTCGCGGCCGAGGCCTGCCGCAGCCGGGAAAGCCCCCATCGTTCCTTCCGTGGCGTTCCTTCCGGCAGCACGATGGCTGCAGCAGCGACACGAGGCAGGAGGGACCGCTGTCAATATACTGTCAAAATGAATCGCGTCGGGATGAAACATCAGCCTCCGCAGGCGCCAGTGGGGGGCGGTCAGCGGCGGACCCTGGGCTGCGCAGGGCGTTGCCAGATCCCCCCTCGACAGACATGCGGAGTACCCCGTGGATACATACCACTCTCGACTCCAAACGCTCTCTCGGACTAAATCGACAGGCTGGCCCAGCGAAAATTGTGCGACGGCAGTTGCCAGCCTGCACAACGAGGGGGCGGCTCAATTTGCTGCTGTGGTTACGCTGGCACAGCTGAAGACCCTTTATCGATGAGATAGGAAACATTCAATCTAACTCACTTGTGTTTCCTTCGGAGGCCCGTGGGTGATTATTGTCATCCAGCACGTTCCAGTAGGATATGTTGTGTACGTTGTTGGAAAACCCGTTCACGGACCGAGTAAGCAGACAGCGCTCCCACCAGGCTGACGGGCGTGCGGAACTTGATTTCGAAAGTTATTTTCAGAGCATTGGCCGTCTTTTTTTCTCCCCGGGAGGCTCCACCAATCGTCCCCGAGCTACAACTCATCCCTTTTGGGGGGGCCCAAGGTGGTATCCAAGCCAGGATCGATTCCACTTACACCAAACACCATTTGGAAATTGATGTTCGTTCCATCTTGGCCTCTCTTGGGCAACTTCTTGGCCTGTGCACGGCGCATCCGTGCAGCACGCAGTGTTGAATGAGGAAATTCGCAAGCTCCACAAATGTATCAAGGATGATAGTCAGTTCGTTTTCTTGGGCAGCAGTTCGCAGTCGCTGGCGATCAAGAACACGCAATCGAAAGTAAACACCTTGGAGTCGACAATGGCCAAGGTCTTGATGGGCAAGGGGACGGCGCCTGCGGGATCACCGACGCTCGCGCTGCCCCGCAATGCTGGCCCTAGCGGCTTGCCGCATTAGTTTCCTGATCTGCTTGTTGGGTCCACAGCACGCCTCATCGCGCCAACCTCGCCGATAAGCTGGACAATCACAAAGCATGGGACAGCTGATTGATTCTCATGACTCGCCTGACCGGGGGTCGCCTAGGGCCCCTTCTGGCAACTTCTCGAGCTCGTCCGTGGTATTCTCACGCGTGAATCTTTCCAACGCCACTTCGGATGCCCAACTGGTTCCGGCGCGGGCCAGCATTGAATGGCCTACGGTCTAGGCTTCAGACCAACACGGGGATGGTCGCGCTTGCGCTGTCTGATACAAGCTCTACTGCGTCACATTGAGCCCGTCTTGGGCATGTGTTAGAGACACTTGGGCAGCCTCTTGGGCCGTCTCCGAATGTCTCCGGGCCAGTTTGGCTCGTCTTCGGGCTGTTTGGGGCATCCTGCGGGGCGGGGCCATTTTGGCTTTCGTTCGGCATGTGTTCAGCTCGTCTAAGGTAGAGTCTACGGGCCATGTTCGGCTCGTCCGGCGAGACCTAGACAGGGCAGGCGGTGAACGCGAAGCGTCTTGAATGGACGATGGCATCAGAACCCGGACTCGAGGTCGTTACAACCCAGTTCATGGTCCAGGAGATGTCGTCGGTCGTATCTTCTTCATATGCATTCGTAGGAATAGTATTAACAATGACCCCGTTGGACAGGATTCCTTCAGTACGGATTCTGTCAGTGAGGCTTCTGCAGTAACGGAATATTTAGCAGTGCATCTTTCAGTAAGGATTATTGCAGCGATTATTTGAGTAAGGATTCTGCGACTCTGGATTCCTCGGGTACAGATTCCTGCAGTAAGGACTCCTGTAATAAGGATTCCTTCTGGAAGTATCCTTGGCTCAAGACTCGGAGTAAGATTCCTCTCACAAAGACTCATTGCACAAGGCTTCTTTCAGTAAGGATTACTGTAGACCGCATTCAAGTGAAGATTCCCTTAAGGAGAAGGGTTTCCGAAAGGACCCATGTAGTTGTTTCATGTAGTCAGGATTATTTCAATCAAGATCATTGTTGTAAGAATTATTGTAGCCATGATGATTTATGGCTGGAGTTCTGTAGGAAGCATCTCTTCAGCAGGGACGCATTCAGTAAGGACCCGTTGTGCATTCCGGATGTATGTTATCAAGGATTATTTCAGTAAGTTGTATGCTAGCCAGTTTGGACCCCAAACAATATGTTTAACCATCTATGTTGTACAATACGTGTTGTGAGATCAATGTGATGCAACATGTGGTATGCAATATATGCGGTGCGCAATCTCTGCGATGCAGTCGACGTTGCGCCATATGTTTTACGCAACCGATGTTGCGCAACACATGTCGCACAATCTACATGGTGCAATATGCATTGTGCAAAGTATGTTGTGCAACCCATGCAGTGCGCAATGTTTGCGATGCGGTCGACGTGTGGCAATATATGTTGTGCAAGTTATGTTGTGCAAACTATGTGGTCAGATATATGTGGTGCAATATGCATTGTACAATACATGTCGTGCAATCGGCGTGTTGCCTTATAATTTGTGCAAAATATGCCGTGTCATCTAGGTTGTGCAGTGTATGCGGTGGAATATATGGGGTGCAATAGTTGTTGTGCAATACATGTTGCGCGATACATTTTGTGTACCATCTGTGGTGCAACCAATACGGTGCAATTAAAGTTTGTTCGCAGTGAGTTGTCAACTCCACTGTTCGTCAAATCACCCCACCCACCTTCAACTTGGTTTTCTAAACCCATGCGGCGGCGATTGCGATAACTGCTTGGCGCTGGCTGGCGGAGTGCTGCGGCCGTGCTAGCGCGTGCAGGCTCGCGCGCAGAGCAGCCAGCTAGTCTGGCGCGACCGACGCGGCCGCGCTGCCGCTGACCGTTCGGGATTTCCTTGCGCGTCTCGCAGGCTGCGCTGACGCTCGGGCGCTTCAGCACGAGTCGGTCCTTCAGGCGGGCGCGGTATTTTGGTCGGCATCGACAACGGCAGACACGATGATGATTGTAGAGATGTTGGCGGCAACGATGACGATGACGATGGCAAGGCCAATGATGGCGCCGATGCTGATCACGCCAATTATGTCCAAGTATCGGCGATGAACGTCGTGCAATGATTTCGACCTGCGCGCGCGGCCGACGGGCGCGAGTGGTTCGCAGGGTATTTCTGTTGACAGGGAACGTGCTGCCCCCCCCCCCCCCGGCACGCGCGCAAAGGCGTTCGAATGATTTCGACATGCTCGCGCGAGGGGCCCGCCTGTTCGCACTGAGATGGGCAAAAAAAGCTGAAAACCGACTGCATTTTATTAAGAACTCGCAAGAACGCGCGCGCAAAGCTTCCTGGACAACAAGAAAAGCATGTTGCAAGACTGCTGACGTTTTATATGTGTTCGAGACAATTGATTTTGAAATCCTCGCGAAACAGATTATTCACAACTGGATATGGTTGAGCCTTTTGCCCAGCTAATTATTTGCATTGGAAGGGGGCGCACTGCGATGCGGTGCCTCCCCCGGGGTGGGAGAGGGGGCATCAGAAAGCCGTGGTACCCTCCCTAAGGGATGACTGAGGGTGGTGCTCCCTCCATGGGCCCCTATGGAGCCCAGAAAGCAGCCGTTGTCCTATTTTTCCACCTTTCGGCTTCTCCTTGGAGTAGCCGCCCTCCCTGGTAATTTGTGCCAGGGCGAGCTTGGCCAGCAGTAGACACATGGGGAGACACAGTTGTAACATCGCAGATGAGAAAGAGACCCCGCGCCGCTTGGAGGCCAGCCGCAATGATGTCAGTTGCTTCAGGTATTTGCGGTTCGTGTGTCACTGGTTCGATATTCTTATCTTGGATATCCCCGTCTGGAGTCATAGTACACTCATGGCTCGCAATGTTGTTGATATGTTCTTCTCCACCGCCGCGTGGGTGTCCCCGGCGGGCACTGCCAGTAAGCGCCGCTCAGGTGCCGTTGGATCCGGATTTGGCGTCGAAGTAACGGTCTCGCTATCTAAGCACCAATTTGAGTATCGAAGCAGCGGTTTCGGTATGCACCGTGGTCGATTTCGCTACCCGCCGAGGTTGGTTTCGGCACCCGTCCAAGTCGGCTTCGGTATCCATTGAGGTCGGGCTTGGTATCCACCCAGGCTGGTTTCGGTATCCACCCAGGTCAGGCTCGGTACTTACCCAGGTCGGTTTCGAGATCCACTCCGGTTTGTTCCACAACGAACCGAGCTTTCCGGGGAATGTCGCGTCACATGTTTCGTGATTCGTGTGCGTTCATCCTTTTTCCACAGTCCGATTTTGCCGTGTGGCCCTCGTTTTTTCCCGTTCCGTTCCGTTTTTCTTTATCCTGGTCTTTCTTTATGTTTATTTTTTCTTCCAGTTTTGGTTTTTTAATGATGGTTCCTTTCGAATCGGGTTTCCTTCTGTCGCCTTTCCATCCCAGATTCTGTTGCGCTCGCATTTTGGGTGTCGGTTTCTGGTTTTATCGTTCGGGTTATTGATATTTTGCCCGCGACTCCAGCGCCCGTGTTTACTGTTCCGAGTCTTACCCCGACCTTTCCGACTCGTGATGCCCCGACATTGCAGATGTGTGCCATCCGTGTTAAGATGCTAGCTTCCTGGCTTCTATCAGGAGGGAAAAAACACACAGACACAATTTATCGTCGATCCCCAGGAAAATATGG